ACTAAAGAAAACTGAAATCTGGATCTCTCTTAATCTTTGTTCATGCTGAGATGGTCTTTAATTAGAATTTCACAGTTGGCCCAGATCACAATCCAGGGATGTCATTTTAGGAAACCGTGTAATCATGTCAACCAACCACCTCCAAATTCCCAGGTATGGGAAATCTTACTTTTGATGTTTGGGGTTTCGGTGGATTAGAGTGAGCAGGGCAATCGATCCACTGCACAGGAATGGAGGTTCGGCTCTGCATAGATCGATTTGCCGATGCAGGAAGGGACATTCCTCAGTTGAGAAATGCTTTGTGACTGTCCACACTTTTCCTTCCACTTATACTTTCTGTGGACACTCAGACTCACTGCTGCAGTAAAGCACTTGTAAATCCCTGACTCAATGAGCTTTCAGAGCTGGAAGGGACCTACCTGATCCCTTCATGCTGTCCCACGTGTTGTAGGGATTTATTGGACACCGCACGCAAGAGAGAGAGTCGGGGTTCAGCCCCAGCCTCTGGGGTGCCCGGGGCCTGAGCAGCAGGCCGTAGCAGGCTCCTGTTGCCAACCTTTGGCTTCTGGTCCTGGCATCTTTCTTTCCCTGAAATGGCTTCAGGACCTTTTGTCCTTTTGATGTTTCTTCCAAGTCCTGTATATTTCCACGACAGACTTATTTTTTACAGAGAAATATGTACCACTGCTCATGGCAAAGGTACACATTTATTACAGGACCGTCTTGCTAAAACTACAGACAGCCAGGTCTTGAACACGGCACCCTTTGCGTCTCCCTGGGCCAACTGTTACTGGAAACACAGCAGATTCTTATGCCGCTCAGAGAGGGTAATTGGGTTTCAAGTGTAAATGTAAGACAGGCGGGGTCAAATTCATTGACCTCCAGGGCTCTCTGCCTGCCGGTGAACAGGTATGACAGATTACAACGTGTGGATATGGCAGCAGCGATGACCCCTTCTCTTCTGCCAGTTCTGGGATAACCACAGCGCTTTGGCATTTAAAAAATTCTTGATTTTGAAACTCCTTTAACTTGCTCAATCTCGAGGTGCTCTAGGCATCCCATGGGGAAAGGCCAAGAAGAGTGGCCAAGATGGTGGTATGGGGACTCCTAGGAATATTCCCAAAGTCTAGGATCCGAGAGCTTGGAACCACCTGCAAGGACCTTGGCCTTGAGCTAACTTGCCCCTTGGTGACAGGACCCTCTCTCTATAGAGCAGTGTGCAGGAATTGAAGGACTGGTTTGCAAGGTTCCTTGGTGAGAGGAAATGACTTAAATCCTGAAGCTTGTGAAATCTGGACACCCTCTCTGGCTCACTTTGGGCCTCTACTTCTGGGGTGCTGTGGCTGCCCAGGTTTGGTGCTGCAGGGTCCCCCAAACCGGTGCTTTCTGCTGCAAAAGGACTGATGAGTTCTGAATCCTGTTCTACCAAAGGAACCTCTATTCTTCATGAAGCATTTGACATTTGAGGTAATAGGGCTGACTGAAAACTGAGAAATCACCTGGCTGATTTACCCCTTCTCCCCTTTCTTTTTGACCAGAGGGAACCCTGTGATAGGGAAGTGATGAATCTAGGTGTATCAACAACTGTCAGTGATCAGGGCAGACTCAGAGAGATGGAAGTCTTCCAAGAAGACTTCTCCCCTTCCAAGAAGACCAATATCTCCTCCATCCTGTTATATTAGCTTTTGGTATTCAGATAATGTGATGGAAGTCCCCTTACCAGCTGCCCGGGATTAACCACCCATGTAGTTCCCCGTGACATAACTGATTCCCACATGGGCCGACGCTCCTGGTGAACAGCCTTTTCTGTTCTTATTCTGCAGCTCTTTGCTCACCAAGAGGATGTTGTGTTTGGATCTGTGTATGCCATTTGTGCCCATCATTGAAATGATGTGATTTATTTGAATGTTACATAAACCAACGTACTAGAACTTAGTCAAGAGAGAATTATTTCTGTGAGTTAGATGCTTTGGACAGAGGAGGCTGTTACCAAATATCAAGTGTGAAAAAGGTAGGGGCACGTCAGGATCTAGAAGCTTTCTGAAGTCAGATTCTCTCACAAGGTGGTTCATGGAACCATGGAATCCCTTGGAACTCTAGTGGGGTGCCCGCATTCGCAGAAAACATCTGGGCCGCCTCTCAAAAGACTGGCATAACTTTACACCAAGTAAATACAAGAGCACCATTTATAGGATTCAGATTAAATTAACAGGGTAAGCGTATGGTTTCCCTTTTGACTGTTTTTTCAGTGAAGTGACCAGAAGTGAGCTTGCACTCAGAAAACTCTGGTCCAGTGTCAATAACCAGTGTACAGATTTTTTGTTGACATATAGCCTTGTGCAAGTTAGTAACTGTTACCTTTTAATGACTTCTCACGTAAAGGGACAGGAGAGCTGGGACCATGACTTGAGGAACTGTGTGTGTGTTCAGCATGTCAGTGATACCAGGGTCCTCATTTTGGATTCCTGGCTGGACGGCTGACTCTGAGTCCAGCTGAAGTGTTGCCGTTAGGCCTTCTAGAGTAGCTTCTTTGTGAAGCACAAGCTTGGGGGCTGGGGAATTGTCCTCCTGAAGGAGAGATTTTAAAATACTTTCCTGAACTAGAGATCTAAAATTCCCGATTTTCTGCTCCCAAGGATGGTTGGCTCATTTAGAGAGAGGCCTGGTGGGGGGGTTGCGTGGTTCCCCCATGCACCTGGCAGAGATGCACACCCCCACGCCAGCCTTCCCTGCTGTCACATCTTTTGATGAGAAGGTGTCTGTGAGTGGACATACATTTTCCCATTTTAGTAGGAGGTGTGCGCAGTGACCACAATGGCCCCAGTCCCTCTACCTGGCGAGTCTTTGCTCAGTTATTCGTAATTTCCTGTGGTTCTGAGACACTCCAAGTTCTTTCAGAAAGTGGGCCAGTAGCTGGTGTACTGGGATTCCTTCAGATTGCTGGCTGAGACAATTCTAAATAGCAACCACTCAAGGTTAATTCCTGAAAAAAGACCAATTTCTGTCCTTCACAGGCTTGTTAAATCACTTTTAATATCACTTTTAATGTAAGTTACTTCTGGATTTAGAGCTAAATTTACTTAAATTACTTCAGTTACACCGGAGAGTGTCCTAATAAATTCTTTTTTCAATCACCCACAAAATGTTAAATGGGTTTGTGCTCATCAAGTTCACTCTGAACCTTCTCTGAGAATCTCTGCTCACTTCTGCTCTGTTGCGTTAAAAGACTGGGTGACCTGTAGCTCCCAGAGCAACGAAAGCCAAACGGGGGGTGGGTATATGCCAGACACTTTCATTCTTCACTGCTTTTCCTAATGACTAGTGTTAGTGAAGGGTTATTTTATGTCAGAGCTATATCCCTTCGCTTTTGACCCTAAATTCTCTTCCTCAATATGAATGTAGCAAAAATATTCCCACTAACCGAACTTCTCTGATATGTAGTGGCCTCTGAGGAGGTAATCTGCAATTTGTGTGAGTTCTTGACACACAGTACTTGTCTGGGTGCTTGCTTTTCACCTTCCTCTTTGTTAAGACTGTCAGGCAGCCTGACTTGCTGGGTGGGGGTCCCGCTCAGGGGTCCCGGCTCCCTGCGTCCCACCAGAAGGCCTGAGTGGCTGCCCTGTGACTTTTATGGATCTTAACCTGGTAATGGTTCTGTCATGGCAGGTTCGGCAACTTCAGAGCAACCAACGTTTTGGACTGGATGGATTTTTGTTGTGGGACTGTCCTGTGCTCTATAGGATGTTAGTAGCATCCCTCGTCTCTACCCACTAGATGCCAGTGGCACCTCCCTAGTTGTGACCGCCGAAAATGTCTCCCTCCAGACCTTGCCAGCTGTCTTCTTGGAGGCAAATTTGCCCTTTGTTGAGAACTTCTGCAGTAAGGAATGTGCTGGTGTGACATCTGGTGCTCATGTCTGCCTTTGGTTTCTTCTGCCTGGTCCCAGAGAAGGTCACCAAGTGACCCAGCTCTGCTTTTAAAGAGCCTGAGTCCTATCTGGAATGTTCTGCCAAGACTGGAGATATGTGCTGGGACCAAGATTGTGTGGACTCAACGTTTTTGCCACACTGAAGGCATTTATACCCTCTCTCTGCCTCTACCTTTTTGATGAGAGGATGGTAACTTTGAAGATCTTTCTAGAAGGTGTATTTGTTGGTATTTGTTGGGGGGAGATGGGAGTTCTTATATACCTTTCTAGATAAATAACTATGAACTTAGAATTGTTTTTTGAGAAGTCAACTAAAATTGCCCAGCAAACTTCATTTTACACAATGAACTCAATGGTAACATCTCTCACTCCTCTCTCACTTTGTGAAAATCACATTTCCAGGAAGAAAAAAGATCATGACCTTGCTGAAGGTTGTGACTCTGTCCAAAAATCCTAAATTACCACGAGAAAGCCTACTATGGATTTTCCCTGTTGAAAGTTTCTGCTGTATTCTTGTCGACGTGAGTAATCTGAACAAAGTTTAAATTAAAAAAAAAAAAAAACATGATGAACAGCTGCTTGGGTTCTGGATGGGGGGATTACGTCCCGAGGGATGCCAGCGTGACACTCTCTTTGAGTTCCTAAGGAAATAAATTGCGCATTTGATGCAAGCAGCCTGGGTTCTTCCGTGGTATTCCTAGCACATCCAGTGTCGTTTGCAGCCTTTGATCTACACCATCTGAAGGGCTTATATTTCAGAGCTTTTCCGGAACACACAGTACAGTGCTCGTGGCTATCGACTCCGAGGGAGCAGGCCATCAAACTTAACACCCGTTTTTGAAACCACTAAGATGCATTTGCAAGATCAACGAGTTCAAGCTCTCCCTCATCCTGGTATCCTATACCTGGGGTTGAGTATTTACAAGTAGCTTAGAATTCTGGTCGGGGAAGGCCCTTTACTTTGTGTGTGATATGATCATCCCAGCATGACCCCCAAGGATTCTTGCATTTGTGGGTAAACATCATTTGTCACTCATAATAGAAAAGTGGGAGGAGGAGAACGTTAACATACCTATAGATAATACATGCACTGTTCCTGCATGTGTCACAATTAGCTGTGTCTTGCCCAGTCCGATATGAAAGCCTACAAGATAAGAACAGGAGAGCATTACAAGCGGTGGCTGGTGGTCACTGGCTGTTAAAGAGCAGACACCTCACATCAGATGCTTTCCCAATGCCATTGCTCGTCATGGTAATGGAAACTGATTAATGTGTGTTTCCCATTTTGCTCCTGTCTGCAGTTAACATACAAAACCAATGCGACATCTACAGCTAAGATGATGTTTAAAATAAATCCAGAATGTGAACATCAGCTACTGGATGAAGGAGATAATCTGATTTTGTCAAAAGAGAATTTGGGATGTTTCAGTGCGCCTCGATGTTTGTGGGGTTTTAAATGAACTTTGAGGGAAAACCAATGCCAGAGACGCCGACTCCGTGGCTTAATTTTGCCCCGTGACCTCTCGGTCAGCTAGAGTAAAGGTCTGCGAACTATAGTTCTTGGGCTGAATCCCATCCTCAGTCTGATTTTTGTCCAGCAAGCAAAGAATGGATTTTACATTTTAAATGGTTGGGCTGGGGAAGGGGGGAGGGGAGTATGAAAGGGACGAAGAAGAATATTTGGAAACTGTGTAAATTAATGAAATTTAAATTACAGTGTCCTTAAAGATGTTGATGGTAAAAACTTGTGAGAGTTTTTATAGAAGTATCTACACAATATCATCTGTTTGCTTCTTGATCTCCCGATTCCAGAATATTTATTCTCTGGCTCTGTAGAGAAAACAGTTTGCTCAGCCTTGTGGTCCAATATGCTATGCTGCTACCACGCCTTCCCACTGACCTTCCCTGACTGTATTTTCTGTGAGATCTATGAGTCCTGTGGCACCACACTGGTTTGGTGGGGGGTTTTTCTGTTTTGTTTTGTTTTGGTTTTTGGTGGGGGAGTGGGGACAGTTGCTAACTTTCTTCCTCAAACAAAAACAAAACCAAAAACAACCTTAGAGTATTTTTTGGAGCATACTGCGGAAGGTTGAATAAACTACAAGGTTTGATAAGCAGGATTTTCTTGTCCAGGCCTTCACTATTTGTTGGCTCAGTCACCCCAAGAAACTAGTATAGCGGGTGCTTTCCCACTGTTTCCTTTAACAACTTGAGTTGACCTTTCTTCTCTGGTATTTTTAACAGCCAGGTATAGTTTTTCCAAATAGTACTTTGTACTCAGGGGCAAACAAGATAACCACAGTCTGTTAAATCTGTGGCAGAAGAAATGCTTACATCGGCATTGGCTTATGTACACCTAGGGGGTAAATTTACATTTATAGAATCACTGAACATAGTACCAGTGTGCACAGAAGGTTTTCCGTCAACATCGATAGTCAATATTTTTATCACTTTCACTATGTAAACTTCTCTTGTATGCATCATGGATTTTGAATTGAAGATAACTTTTGTTTTCCTCATTATAGTTTGTGTTACATAAACATTTGACAAAAAGATTTTCCACTCAATGCCATGTTGTCTCAGTGAGCTTTGGTAAACTCGGGACTTGACCTTTGAATTCTGTATATTTTACTTATTAATCAAGTGACCGTATTTGGCCCTAAAGTGTTGCCAATCCTTGCCTGTGACCCCACTGTGTTTGGGTGAGAATTGGAATCTTAGTGTGGCGGCACGTGTGCTGACTTTGGCCGCCATCACTCTCTGTACAGGACTCTTGTGGATTCCCACGTTTGCTGTTTTACCCTCCTTCGCTTAGTCAGTTGAGAGGAACAATCAAGAGCTTGTACATCACACCCTCCCCTTTCTCTTCACAAGACTTGGCCACTTTCGTCCTTAGACTTGTCCTCTTTTTGCTAAACCCCAAGAGTACCTTCCTCGTGAACCTTCCCACCTGGTGCCAGATTTGTCAGATACATTCCAGGGTTCCCCTGTGTCAGGACATTAACCTTCTCCATTCTTCCATGCCTTATGTATATATAAAGTGACTTCCTCTATTAGCGCTTGCCCTAAGATCATTTCTGACCAAGGTCATTTTGTGCGGTACTGTGCACAACACTTGAGCCCAGGTCCTAGCAATGGCATGGCTGGTGTGGCATTGTTAGCCTGGGGTGCAGATGATGTCCCATTCCTCCTTTATGTTGTGCTAGCATGTGCTAACCACCAACCAAGGCAGCTGCTTATATAGGTGCTAGTCATAGTCCAAAGTTTACATTTTTAAAAGAAAGCAGGCAAACTCAGGGACATTTCTTAACTCCTTACATATGGGGCACTCTTTCTGGGTTCTGAGGAAAATAACTTTGTAGAATCTTCCTGTGTTAGACCCCAGGACAAATCTCTATCAAGCTTCATCAATACCAACACCCCTTACTTGCCCAATATCATAGAGTTCCCAAGTGTCTCACAGTAGAGCCTTGAGTCTTCAAATTAATTATGCTATCCTCATTTTACAGAGGAGAATACAGTAACATTTCAGGTCCAGGATCTCATTATTCTTAGACCCCACGCTTCTGGTTCTCTGTGACGCATTCCTTCTACCTTGGGACTGGTATTCTGCCCTACGTGTAACTGGCAGGTTGGGACAAACAGAGAATCCAGCAATGACAGGACAAGGGCCGCAGGTATCAAAAATGCACAAGAGGACTCTCTTCCAGGACCTTGGCATTTTTCAGTTGGAAATTGCTTTTTGAAAGCACTTTTCTGAAAAGACTATTCTTATCACCTTGTAAAAAGCACATAGATTTTTTTTAAACGCTGTTACAGTCAGTAAGCAAATTAGTTATTGAGTGCCCATTAGGTGTTAGACATTATTTGGCTACTGAAGAGACATTTTTGAACAAGGGTGGCAGACGTAGACAAGAAACAAACACACAGATGGATGGACGGGTGGACGGATGGATGGATGGACGGATGGATGGATGGAGAGTGGCTGGCTGGGTGAGTTTTGATAATGCCCTGTATTAAGGAAGGGTTGTGAGGAGATGACTTTAGCTAGCACACTGAGGGCATAGATTCTGAAATGGGACCTTAGTGATAATAAAAAAAAGAAGCTAGTCATCTAAAGATTCAAGGCTGAGAGGTGCAAACAGGAGGACTCTTCCAGTGTAACATCCTGCAGTGGGAATGATGCTGGCCTATGTGCACGATGGAAACAAGGCCAGTGTGGCTAGAACAGATGCTGCCTTCAAGGAGTATGGGGAGATGAGATGAGACCATGTAAAATCAGAAACTTTGGACATTATTTTAAGTGTAATGGAAAGCCACTCTAGAGTTTTGCTTCTAGTTGGATGGAAGAGTGACTTGGAAAACACTTGCTCTTGACTACCTCTCTCCCATGCCACCAATATCACTTTAATTCAATTTCCTTTCTCTTGCTGCTTTTGTTATACCACAAGCCATGTCACTCCATCATGAGACATAATATGGTTTGGCTGATGTCTGCAGATGAGAAGGAAATGAGTCATCGTGTCTACTTTACATGAAGACATATTTGTGGTCACTGGTTTTTAGCTAATTTCAAAGAAAAATGGCCAGTCATATTTCCACCATGCCTGAGAAGTATTATCAGGCTCTCATTGCCATGAACTTTTCTTAGAGAGACCCCTCAGTATACTTCTAAGATTGTTTTTTAATGACCTTTCTTTTGTTTAAAGGATTCAAGTGTTTGGAGTCCCTACAGGCATTTTATAGGAATAGAGATCAATGAGAAATTAATTTGTGGATAAAATTTAATGTGTTGCCCTCATGTCATGTGGTTAAGTCTTAGGCTGCCTCCAGCAGCTAATGTCAATCAAGGTATGCCTGCTAAAATTTTATTAAGCATGCGGGTATTTTCAGTAGAAGGCTTAAACTATGTAATCCATTGTGCTTATTGCTTTGATAATCCATCTAATTGTCCTTGGAGCCTTCAAGCTGTAGGGTTTGGCTTCACTGATAATTTTATGGTCACATTAATAATTGTGTTACAGCATCTGAATGAATGTGTTCTCCAAATATAGATGAAGCAGATAAATTCTTTCTATAGGACAGGGAACACAAAGTGCCCTTATGGAATTTCCCTAATTTTTCCTTCTCACTTGGAAACAAGTCATAAAACCAATACTTGGAATGATTATCTTTCTAGGTAGCCATTGCCATGAAGAGGGGCAGTCCAAAAGTTTCGAACTACTGGATCAGCTACTTCTCCATTGTCAGTAGGGCTAGAGATCTTTTGCGATTATAAGTTTAGAGAAGAGAGAGCTTAGGTTATTGATATAAAAGCTGCAGAGAAAGAATATCTTGATAAAAATAGCAAGTTTTCTATCTTGCAAGTTAAATGCTATCTTTGTAAAGCCTTCTTTCCTTTTGTTTTGAGGAATTATACCTTATATAGGTTTATAATCCCATGCCTGTCACAATGCCGGTATGCTATTTGGTTAATATTAATTTGAACAAATAATAAAACCACTCTCTTGGTTTTCTTACTGAAGTTCAGTAATAGACAAATCTAATGAAAAAATTCCAACTAAGTGCAAAAAGCAAATGAAAAGTATACATCGTGAAAAGCTCTGGTCCCCACTTATTCCCAGTAGGAACCCCTTTAAACACTAATGATAAGCATGCTCATTATAAACATGGATTTTTAATACATGGATCTTTGTAGCAAACACAGTTGTCCCATTGTAGCTAGTCCAGTCCTTTTCTGGTCTTCATGTGTGTACGTAACTTGAAAAACAAACCAACAAATGTAACCTTCAGCACCAAGGACAGGGCCAAGCACCAAGCTGCTGTCTTAGTACTTTTTTCCTCTGGTCCCTTGATTCTCTTGCCTCCTGTTCCATACCCCCCCCCCCCCCCCCCCCCCCCCCCCCCCCCCCCCCCCCCCCCCCCCCCCCCCCCCCCCCCCCCCCCCCCCCCCCCCCCCCCCCCCCNTCCCCCTTGTCCCCGCCCCATCCCTTCAGCTCACAGTTCTAACTGAGGAACAGATTCCAGAACCTGGGATCTCTCCTCACGTGGTACCCTTTTGATACTTATGGTCAAGAAGGGCTTCACTGAAAGCTAAAGGAGACTAGACATGAGCCATGAAATGAATAGGGATGGCAAGACCGT